AAATGAATATGAAATTTTAGCTTGATTAATACATTTTTAGAAACTTTACAGCACAACAACAAAAACAAATCGATTTACTAGTTTTCCAAATATCTCGAGAACCGCGCGAGGAAAAACTTTGAAAAAAAATCACACCTACACGCATCAAAATATCTATGAAAAAAAATATTTTAAAATTTTTTTCTTACAAATTTTTCTCATACACATTTTTTGATAAAAAAATTAGCTTTTGAAAATATCGTATCTCAAAAAAAAATAAAAAAATCACAATGGTAGATCTGAGTATTGCGCAGTTTTGTAAATTTTAGTATAATAAAGGCAAGTTTTAAGCTAATAAAAAATTGCGTTGATTTTTAATATTTTTTATGCTGACGGCTTTTTGCACTTTTTTCTTATGGAAGAAACTGCGAAAAACCGTTTTCAAAAAAAAAAAAATTAACGCCGGTTTTGCAATCGCTTAAAACTAATAAAATAAATGTGCTACAAAACTGCATACTCAAAAGAATTCTAAAAAAATTAAACAAAAATGTAAATTTGTAATATTTAATATTAATTTTTTTAAACTTTGGTCAAAAAAAAATTCATAACTCAAATGATTGTTGAGTGCACCCCATAATACTATACTTAAGTATTGCGCAATACTCAAAGCGACCATTGTGATTTAAAAATAAAAATTGTTTTTGAGGTGTCATATTATCAAAAACTAGTTTTGTTTTATCAAAAAATTTGTATGTAAAAAATTTTTCAAGGAAAAAAAATTTTCAAATATTTCTTTTCATAGAGAATGAGTATGCGAGATTTTTTTCAAATTTTCTTCCTCGCCTCTCGAGATATTTTGAAAATTATCAAATCGCTTTGTTTTTGATTTTGTGCTGTAAAGTTCAAAAATGTATTAATGAAGCTCAAATTACATATTTTTTTTTTATTATTTATGTTTATGCATCAACGCTAAAAATTTGAAACAAATCAAACACATGAAGTGTTAACCCTTTGCGTTTTGGTATGGAACACCCCATAAACACTTGGCAAAACTTTTGATATTTTTAACACATACTCTCACACAAAAAACCCTACAAAAGCATGCAATCTATGTACGTATGAATAGAACTTTAAAATTTGTGTCTCCTTCTATTTCTTAATCCCAAACTCGTTGCGTAAATGTGTAAATGTATGTATGTTTGTATGTAAATTGTAAATACAAGTGTGCGTGAACAAATAAAAGGCGTGCTTGTGAAAACTTTCTCTCACTTGTTTCTTTTTTGTCTTCGTATTTATACAAAGAAAATTTAATTAAGCCAACCATAGAATTTACCATTTAGATACACTTGCACACACACACACACACACACATACATAGCAACGACATGAAATATTTAATAAGTTTATAATGCAAACAAAGGCCAAATTACACAAATAAACAATTATTTGGTGAAAGTAATAATTAAAATGTAAAAGTTAAGAGACACATACGAAACTAAATGCATAAGATATGTTTAAAATATTAATTCAGTGTTGCTGTTTGGTAAACAAAAGGCATAGTATAGTAGGTAGTTTATTGTAGAAAAGACAATGCTGAAAGTTTTCTTTTTTTTGCTTTTATGTAATTGCTTAAATGCATTAGGCTGTACCGAATATTTCAATGTGCCAATTGTTAGTGGTAAGGCTGTTATTCAATGCCTTACAAATAATTGTTGCTTCTTGGAAAATTTTTGAAACTTTAGAGCATGCAGTACTACATACTACAACACTCATTTACCCAGAAAAAATCACAAGAAATTACTGATTCGTTTCAATGCTTTTTTTCTTGCATGAAATTGGAATACATATGAATACAGTAATTCTATGAAATAAAATTGAAACGTCGACAATGTGGAATATTATTGCCTAATGACTTTGAAAAGTTTCAATTCCTATGACTTGAAAAGGAAAAAGGATAAATTTTTGCTTTTTATTCCTTTAGGTATTTCTCTGCGGATGAGAAATTTCTAATAGTTTCAAAATTTGTTGAATATTACGGCCAAATTTGGCATTAAAATATTTCTGCATTTGTGTATAATTGTTGGTGCAAGCTGTTAAATTTGAGCTTTCGCATTTTATTTTACTTCGAATTTGAAATTAAACTTCGTAATAAATATACATAAATTTGATGATGAAGAAATAAATGATAAAAAAAAGGATGAAGATAAAAAAGCGAAGGCAAAATTAGAGGTAAAGACGAAAATTATGTTGCCGTAAGTTATCAAGTTATCGGATTACCAAAGTTTATAGTTATCGAAATTTATCGAATTATCCATGTTTATTGAGTTATCGAAATGTATCGAATTATTCAAGCTAATCAATAATCAACCGGACCGGTTACTTTGTTTTTTTTTTTTCGTTGATTAAATCGCTTTTTTGATTGCATCTTTGGTTATATAATTGCCAGTGGAACTTGGTGGGGAACAAAGATTGAAGTTAGATCTGTTGTTATCTTAAAAAAACCCTTTTCGATATAGGTCTTCCTTAACAAGGAACGAGGGTGGTGTTTTGCGACCAATAGCTGCAGTTTCCTTCAGTGTTTTGTTTAAGTTAAAAGTCATTATGCAATGTTTGCAGTCGTTCTATTTTATCGCATTCCCTGTTTACCCAATCTGCCTTAGCAATTCGAATCTCCCGTCTAAGTTCTCACGAAGTCTATTTATTCTTCGCCTTCTGATTTGGTGCTATAACCGCCTAAGCGATTTTGGCCGAGTTCAACAAAGCAAGCCAGTCGTTTCTCCTCGGGGCCCACTGACGCCAACTGGAAATGCCACGTGAAGCCACGTCCTTCTCCACTTGATTTTTCCATCGCAGTTGGGGTCTCTCTCTTCCTATGCTACCTTCAGCGGGTTTCGAGTTGAATACTTTCAGAGCTGGAGCGTCGGAATCCATTCGAACGACATGGTCAAGCCAGCGGAGCCGCTGTATTTTAATTCGCTGCGCTATATCTCTGTAAAGCTCATACAGCTCATCATTCCATCGTCTGCGGTAGTCGCCGTCGCCAACGCGTAAAGGCCCGTAAAACTTCCGCAAAATCTTTCTCTCGAACACTCCAAGAGCCGCCTCATCGGACGTTGTCATTGTGCATGCTTCTGCGCCATATACCAGCACGGGCATGATGAGTGGCTTACAGAGCGTGGATATCGTACGTCGAGAGAGGACTTTATTCCTTTTCTTCCGTCGAGGCATGGGCGCAGATGAGCGAGATGTTGAAGAATCTCGCTTTGCTACGGATTGTGGCTGTACGCTCGTCCACCGGGGTCTTCTTTACATGGAAGCTGTAGCAGAGGTCACAAGGCCCCAGGCATTTCTTGCCTTGCCCCGTCCAACGCATTTCTTAGTTGGCGGTGATGTCAGCCTCCTTTGTCCTTACGAGGACACCAACCAGCCGGGCAGAGGCACCTTTCCTATTAGGGGTCCGGACATGCCAAGTGCAAAATGCGTTGAGATGTTAACTAGGGATAACGGAACTTAATTTCTTTGACTGTGGTTAAAAAATCTTTGAATATAACCTCACTTTTGTGTGCGTAGTTTAAAATCATCTATTCGTGTGCGCGAGAATCAACTTCAAGAAAAAAACCTAGTGCCTAAGAAAAATGCAAGCTGTTCCTTTAAAATAATTTTTTTTTGTACATAACTCACTTATCCTTTTCTGTCTCAATAAACAATTAACTGCATCAATGCATCGATGTTTTTTGGAAACTGACACCCCTAAAACATTGAACCGCCATCCTAGTTTTTCAATTGTACAAAAAAAAAAAATTTATTTGTAATGGCTCCCAAAAGTTCCGTTAGAAATATAATTAGCTCAGTTGCAGTAATTTAATTAAAATTTTGTACAATTTTGCTAATAATATATTTTGTTGTGAAACATTATTTGAAAAATCTTATGCGAACCGATGCATCGAATCCAAGAAAAACATTGATGTATTTTTGCCACTGACATCCCTACCGGTACCCTACTGTTTCCAATTATTTTAATACAAATTTTCATATATTTCTTTGCGAAATGAAATTTAAACTAAATTACTTGGAGTCGTGGTTTCTTTCGATAAACGTTTATTGGCAGGCGAATAAGGTGTTTTCACAGTTAATTGTTTTTTGTTTTTTTTTTACTTTTTCTTCATAAATCATGCAGTAGAGGGTTAAGTTTTATTTTCTACACAAAAAAATAAAATTAAAAAATAGAATTTTTTTACTAAGCAAAAATTAAACGTTCAAAAAGCAACAATTATTTTTTGAGCATTAGTCATTAAAAAGTATTTTGTTAATTAATGTTATAAACGTTACTAATGTTATTTTTCAAAGTAAATGCATTTAAAAAAATTAGTTTGAAAGTGTCTTGAGGCTTACATTTCTCTAGCCGTAATATATCTTTCTAGCCATATAAAGTTAGATACTACCACGCATTAAATAGATGTTCAGCGTAGGTAATTAAAAGTTTTGCCCCTAAATGGTAATTACGAATATTACATTACTGTTATGATTTTAAATTTATGTTTTGTTATGAATACGAAATTCAACCATCTAACAACTTTTGGGGAAAAAGTTACGAAATTTGTAGGCTTGTACTGTATTATTTATTTGCCGCACAAGTACATCAGCAGACTCATACCAGACACACACACACACACACACACGTACACTATCTTACATATGTAAATATATAATTTCGGAAATTACAGCTCGGGGGCGTTGCAAATGCATGTAGCGTACAAAAGTAGGCATCAACTAATGCTGCATGCAACCACACTACACACACTTGCAAACACCCAAACCCACAAACCCACATATTCACTTTCCCAACAACCATTTCACCATTTCAAGCGCCAGCATAAAATAGCCGCCAGCGTTGCGGGACGCCGCATTCGTTAGTGAAACTTCGAGCGCCGCCAAAAACGCAGCTCAACCAACGGGCACTGCAGCGCTTTTTCATTCCGCCGCCATCTACACACCGTCACTGCGTCACACCGTCTCATAGAATGCGCCATTTTCTGGGCCCACAGGTGCCCATTGAACGCAGCTTCTTCCGCATCCCGCGCATTTCGGCGCGCATCGCCGCTTTTTGGCCTCAATCACCTAACGGCCCGCCGCGCACTTCTCTAACGGTATTGCGTTTCTGCGTGAACGCATTTGCGGTTGCTTTAGGCGCCTTCGGTGAGAATTTCTACGGTTTCATGTATCTGGACGATCTTTTTAGTGCATTTGAGGCATTCTGTCCAGGAGTTACCAAGGTCATATCGCTGTTGAAGATGACCATTTTTTTTGTACGCCATAAGCGTTGGCAACGTGTGATTCATGGTATGCGTGTGTTGTTGTTGCAGGGTAAGTACCAGCAGCGTTTTTGTGAATTTTTGTAGCATACATACATACTTACATAGCATAAGTGTTTACCGGCCGTAGTGTAGAGTAAAGACGATGATGCTCTGGTCGCCTGTATGCTAAAGTATTTCTACAAACATTTGCATTCCGCGGTTTTTGGCAGAATGCCATTGCGAAATTTGTTGTTGTTTGCTGTGTAGCTTTCTTTATTTTATTTATGTGTGGTGTAGTACAACGTTTTCTCGTTTGTTACTTCTTCTCGCATCGCACACCCACACACACACGCACACACACAGATACCAGCATCGAGAAGCGTCGCATCATGGAGCCACTGGCCTCGTTTGCATCGGTGTTGTCCTTTGTGCTACTCGCAGCTGGTTCGCTAACGAATACGTTTTTCAATGTTTCGCCGCTGGTGAAAATGGTCTACTACAAATGGCAATGGCAGGAAACGCAGTTGCTGTTGCCCTTCAAAGTTGTGTAAGTTGATGGCGAAATGTTTTGCGTTTTTGTTTGGTTTAGCGCAACTAACTATGTTTATCCTATTTCAATATTTAGTTATGCATTTTTTAAATGGCAAAAGAAGTTTAGCTAAAAGGAGTTGAAGCCAATATTTAAGCCGAAAGATCCTCCAATTCCTTATCTTTTCCATACACGATTTTACTGGTAAAGTTGTTAACGGGTTAGGTTAATTTGGCTAGTTGAGTGGGAGACGTATGTAGACCTTTTGGCCCCGACTTAGTTTTGAGTTGGCAGTTCTTTGTCTAGCTTTGATCCAGCATGCTAAGGATGCATGAGTAGGTAAGTTATTGAGATGGAGATGCTACCAAAAATGCATGAATCAGTAAATAAAGCCTTCATCGCCTTGCTAGTAACAGCATTTAGATGTGTATTCCAAGGGTTCTGCCAGGTTATATATTTTGCCTTACTAGAAATACCACCTCGGATCATTTCTGTCATTGATAGCTTTTTCTTCCCAATAAATGGTACGATAATAGTCTTAGTGATGCTGGCAAGGGTAATAAGTGCTGCCAGTTTAAATCGCAGCAGCAGAAGCACGATACTCCTGACTACGAAGATGATATTGACATCCAAATAAAACGACAAACAGGACGTCAACGTCGCATTTTCCAGCTTTAAAAAAAGCAAAAGAGGTAAACCTAGCGGTAAAGGAGGATAAGGCAATGTATCTCCTGGCAATTCACAGTAAGTCTTCGCGTATTCGCGGACGCACGTCTCTGTTGGCAGTTATAACTTTGAGGTAGGGAAGGACTTTGTCTACCTTAGATCCAGCAAAAATACCAATCTCAACGTGAAGATCAAGCGAAGAACAACAACCAGGTGCTGCCTTGGCCTCGGTAGGCAATTGAACTGTTCTGGTCCTCTCTCGACGTACAAAAATTACGCTCTACAAGTCTCTGATCATGTGAGTCCTTTTATGAGGCGCACAAACATGGACGATGTCGAACAAAGATGAGAAGGTTTTGGGTGCTCTTGAAAGAACTATTATACGAAACATTTATGGCCCTGTTCGCGTGTGCGGCTGGCAATGAAGAAGATGGAATAACGAACTGTAAGAGCTTTTTAAAAACAAAGACATTGGGCCGCATGAATAAAAACTAAGCAATTCCTGAAATTTCAAGATGAAGCTAGAGAGCACAAGAAGAATACAACGATTGCGCTGGTTTGGATATGTCGGACCCATCAATGATGATGCTCTTATGAATAGCTCCTTTTACTTGGCATCCAACAGTGGACAGCGAACGAAAGGGCGATCACGAACCCAATAAATAGATGGACCAAGTCTAGAAGGACCTGTCTTCATTTTGGACAAAAAACTCGTCCAGATAGCTGAGGTTCGCTTGAAGTATGCTTCGCTGCGTAGCTCACTACGTCCAGATATTTATATCTACGTATCGTCTGGGTAGCGAGGTGATAAGGCGTAAAACCTCGCGTGCGCCCAATGAAAACGAAACGTATGAGACTTCCTTCTTTTGATGACGACCAATGCACACGTATACCAATGAATATCCGAACCTTTAATGGGGGCGGTGCCCGGCTGGATTGTCTGCTGAGAATATGGGAAAATAAGAGCGAAGCTACATACATATGTATACATCCATAGTTTTGCGAGAACTAAGTTTAATTGCTTCAATTCATTAGGTCCCGGCAACGTGTATGGGCTAAAGACGGAAACAGACCAATGTATTCATTCTACAGTGATAAGCTTGGGGTTGCGTAGCTTTATTTTCTTCCAGAAGTGAGTGTTCATGTAACCAATTCTGACTGATAGCAGTTCGCTCAATAGTCCGGAAAATGAGTGTTTAGCAGAAATCTGCAAGTTTCTCCCGATTGCCAAGTGTGCATAACATCTGATCCCTTTTGAGTGCCAATGGTGTTCTTGTGATCGTTTGTTAAAGCTTTTTGCTATGGATCTTCATTATAGAACGTAAGATCTATTGATTTTGACTGGCGTATTTAGACGAACTGAGGAGTTTCGAGGTAGCTTAGTCGGGCTCTTAATAGCACCATACAAAGGCATAGGAATTGCTCTAAGGCTTCCTTTGTTTAAGGCTCTTCGCTTCATGCTTTCCCGGCAACCTCAGTACGAATCGCGTATAGCTCTTTTTGGTTTTATCTCGAAACTACTTGCCTTTGCTTGACCTACCGATTCCATTCTATAAATTATTTATAGCTTCTCATGAAACAACATCCAACGGATCGAGTAAGAAATATGTTTAATATTGTAGCCTGAAAAAGATGCTTAGGAGAAGGCTATGATCGAATGATTTAGTTGGTCGAGCCTCGACCGCACTTAACAGGGATACGAGAATAATTTCTCACTAAGCGAAGGCATTTGAAGAGGAGTGATATTGCAACCCGTATCCTAGAAAGCGCAGTTTCACGCTGCTCTATTTTTCCCAATAGCTGCACTCTGGTGCCTCTAAACGAGCGCTTCTTCTACCTGGAAGACACTACATAACTATTTCGGGGGTACACCATTCACTTAGCACATTTGTTAAAGCCAATAGTCACCTATGCATCCGTAGCATTATGGACTAAATAAGGCTGCACGAATGTTCAAGCAAGCACAAAACAAGAAAATTGGAGACCTGCGCTGCCGATGCATTCGGCGCCTATTTTGGTATACCTCCCTTACTTATACTAACTCACTGATTAAAAAAAAAACTCCCACTCGGAAATATGACGCTTCATATGAAAGTCCTAATGGGATTCGATAATGGCATCATATTTACAGTCATATTACGGTACTCATAGCAATTCCGGTTCTCTGGAACGCANATTTTCGAAAACTCATTTCAGTCTTGTTATTAGCTATTCAAAGGACGTTTGAATGCCAAACTTTTTGTAAACCGCGACTCAAAAAACATTTGTATATTAAATTTTATAAAAATTTTAAAACTTTCTAAAAATCCATCCACCGTTTTGAAGTTTTGAAAACTCATTTCAGTCTTGTAATTAGCTATTCAAAGGACGTTTGGATGCCAAACTTCATAGAAATCTTAAATTTATAAAAAATTCATCCGCCATGTTAGATTTGACATATTGAATTTTTGAAAACTGATTTCAATTATGCATTCAGCGACTCAAAGAACCTATGAATATCAAAATTTCATGGAGGTTTAACAAGTTTTTTAAAAATCCATCCGCCATGTTGAAATTTAAAAAAAATTTAATACGAATTTTGATAAAGTTTAAAAAAACACAAAGCGATATTTTATTGACCTATTGCTGTTGTTAAGGCTTGTATTTCGCCACAGAAACCATAAATGAGCTGATCTAGAAAATCGGCGAATATGGACACTTTTTTGTCTCTACTTTCCGAAAATACCTTATTTTTTTATGGGCGCAAAAAAGTTGAATTTTTTCGGACAGTGTAGTATGCAACTCTCAATTTTTAAATAGAGTAGGTAGTTGCTTCTTTGATAGGAAATTGCATACGGCCGATGAACCCATTCATGCAACTTTATTTTCTCCTGAGTATGCGAAAAATAAGTATCCTGTTCTGGACAATTTAATTTTCCGCCAACATGTCAGCATATGAGCGCACATACTTACATACATAAGTATGTGTATAGATACTTGTAAACCTAAAAAACATAAATAGCCCATACAATGTTTAGTAGAATTTTTAAAATGAAAAGTCAGCACTTATGACAACCAGCTGTCGTTGCAGCAACAAATTCAATATAGCCATTGAAAAGTACCTCTATGTTGCAAATGTATTTACGCACGCAAGCTGCAGGCAACATTTTTTTTACTTACTCTTTCAATATTCCATCCCTCTGTATTATTTGTTTTTGTTTTTTTTGTAAATATTTCAGTTTGCCGGAACTGCTTGTCAATTTACCCTATTACCCAGCCACCTACCTGATGCTGACGCTCTCCGGCGCCATGACGGTGTTCACCTTCAGTGCCGTGGATGGATTCTTCCTTTGCGCTTGTTTGTATACGTGTGCATTGTTTCGTATGTTGCAATTTGACATACGCCATACATTCGCTGAATTGCAAGAACGTGAGTAAAACCAGCAGCCGAATGCAGTGCGCACTAAATGCACGTACATACATATATGCATACATATACGCACTAAGATTCTTTACATAACCACCCAAAACATATGAACATGCATGCATATGTATGAGCATGCATTGCACATGCTCCAACCAATTACTTACACATAAATAGGGGTATTCTCGAAGTCTTGCACGATGCACGGATTGCACGAAATGCAAAAATACTATTCCAAATTTCGAAGAGTACGAGAACACCCCATTGCAAAGTGGTAGCATGCATGGGGAGCAAGCAGCGAAATTATGTATCAAATACAATAACAAGAGACAGCAAAAAAAACTATCCGTGCAATGGCTTTGCAAGATTTGGAGAATACCCCTAATGTTTACATGCATACAAATGCATTTTGTGTATGCACTACACGTACCGTACACTCGGCCGCGCGGCGCTACTCTCCACCACAGTGAACGACTACTGCATGCCACAGCGGCTAGCAAGCAATTCACTAACTGCACTCACTCATCTAAGCGAACGTCAAATAGTGATTGATTCAATTTACAAAATTTTTGCAAACCCTTTCGGCTTCTTCTCCTCCACTGCAACTCATCTGCACTTAACAAGCGTAACTTTTACTTTCCTATGTTTTTTTTTTCAATGGCCATGTTCCTCTTCCTCGTATGTATGTACATCTTGTTCATGACCAATCGTGCTTGTTAGTGGAGTACTCCACGTTGTTGCAAAATGTGCGGATACAACGTCGTTTGGCGGTGCTGGTTGAACGCCACAACAAAGTCATCGATCTGTGCAGCGATTTCGCATCGGAATTTACACTCATCGTGCTGATGCATTTTCTTTCAGCCGCACTAGTGTTGTGCTTTAGCATTTTGGATATGATGCTGGTGAGTTGATGAGATGGTTGCTCGCTTGACTACTATACTTGGTAATATTGATTAAGTGTTTGTTGTTATAATTGTTCATTGAAGGTGGACTGTGTTATCTTTTCCACTATCGTTACCATCAATGTTTCCATTACCATTACTCTTCTTTGTTTAAGTTTAAGTTTCAAAAGTCCTGATTTCTTTCGAGAAATACTGGATTCTTTACCATTATCAT